GCCCATTAGCAGGATTGGAAGTAGAGCAGCTGGAATACGAATTGGTGCCCACATGAGAAGCAGGCATGGTGGGCGATGGCTTAACCCCACTACACAACACCTGCCCCACACTCCCCACTTTATTTTGACAGGCAGAGTGGACAGTGAGAGAGAGACAGAGAGAAAGGTCTTCCTTTTGCCGTTGGTTCACCCTCCAATGGCCGCCGCGGCTGGCGCACTATGGCCAGCACACCGCGCTGATCCAAAGCCAGGAGCCAGGTGCTTCTCCTGGTCTCCCATGGGGTGCAGGGCCCAAGCACTTGGGCCATCCTCCACTGCACTCCCTGGCCACAGCAGAGAGCTGGCCTGGAAGAGGGGCAACCAGGACAGAATCCGGTGCCCCAACTGGGACTAGAACCCGGTGGGCCGGCGCCACAAGGCGGAGGATTAGCCTAGTGAGCCACGGTGCCGGCCCCCACATTCCCCACTCTTGGCCGTGGCCCCCAGTTGAAGCTGAAGCCAGGATCTAGACCTCAGTCAAGGCCTCCCAACTACTTGACTCATCGCTGGTGCCTCTCAGGGTCTGCACTGGCAGAAAGCTGGACTCAGGAGTCAGAGCTGGACATCAAACCCAGGTACTCCGATTCCAAACTCAAGAATCTTAACTGTGAGGCTAAATGGAGTAGTTGTATAGGAGTTAGGAATTGTGAGTCTACCTTCAATTTCTTGCCAGTGCTTATTCAGAATATCACATCCCACTAACTTTCAGAGGTCTTGCAACTAAATAATATCACATAGCTCTAGACATTCTTCAGAATGAATGCTAGGTAATTTCAAGATGCTATTACAATTATTTTGCTTACATTGCTTTGAATTGTGCTGTACAACAATTGACATCTGGCAATTACTCAAAGTAATACCCATCATTTTAAACCCAAAAGACATGCTTTCTCAAGAACATTTGTTTCTGAAAAATATTCATACTATTGACACTGTTTCTTTCTTTTTAAAAAAGATTTGAAAGCCAGAGTCACTCAGAGAGGAGAGGCAGAGAGAGAGAGAGGTCTTCGATCTGCTGGTTCACTCTCCAGATGGCCGCAACGGCCAGAGCTGCGCCGATCCAAAGCCAGGAGCCAGGGGCCTCTTCTGGGAGGGGCGCAGGGCCCAAGCACCTGAGCCATCCTCCACTGCTTTCCCAGGCCACAGCAGAGAGCTGGATCAGAAGAGGAGCAGCCGGGTCCCAAACAAGCACCCATATGGGACACCAGAGCTTCAGGCCAGGGCGTTAACCCGATACGCCACAGCGCTGGCCCCATCACTATTTCTTCAGAGGATGCCTCAGGAAATTCTGATTAACGGCAGACACTTTCACGTGGTTTTTATTCGTCGTTTTCTATGGAAAATGCCTGCTAGTCTAGGCCATGATAGGTGCCCCCAGAATGAAAGGATTTGCAACAGAACTGCTGCTTCGTCACTTGGATGCACAGCACTGCTCTTGTGCAGGGTTCAGCACATTCACAAACCATCTCAACTCATTAATTGTAACCGACAATACAGGGTAGAGTGAAGCCATTGAGGAAATTCCAAGAAGTAGCGTTTGCAATTCTAAATTATTTTAAGCAAGTAGAATACATAAGACTGTTCAGCACTTAGATCAAGCTTATGCAAAAATTCCAAAAGACAAGCAAGTAGATTTCACTAATCCTTTTAGTAGGCTGCTGGCAGACACTATTATGTCACTGCTTAAGATGGGAAAACAAAAACAAAGACACCTGCAAGAACAGAGCCAAGGCTGACTAGTGGTGACAGTCACCTGTGATTAGTTGTCACCTTCTGTTTTGGAAAATCTATTAACATAATTCCATTAGAATGCATCTGCCTTTCACAAGCATGATTATTTATTTTCAAACAACAAGGCCATCATTGTCTCATGCTTTAGGAGAATTTTGGCCCAAAAGAAGTCCAAAGCTTTTTATACAGGCTGGGAAACAGTGTCTGATTTGCTTTCAGTTTCATAGAATTCTATGAAAGCTTAGAAGTAAAAATCCTGACCTTTTTTTTTCTTTAGGAAGGTGGAATGCTTGATTCAGCGTTTCCACTTCACCATTAATGTTCAGTAAAATACAAGGTAGTAGATGGGCTCAAGGGTCCTTCCAACATCAGGACTTCATTATGTCTGTCGTACCAATCATTGACTAAGCGGTGGAGCCACAGGTGATGATATCAGAGTGAGAAGTACTTTAAACAATCTCCAGGAGTGATTGTGGCACAATTTGTGTGTAACTCAGTACCAATATCAATAACAATTTTAAGGATAATGATAAAGGGGCCATTTTTCCATAGGGATAAAAGGCAAAGAATCTTGGCAAAAGAAAGAGCCCATTTGAATGGCTGCCCAAGTGTCTACATCAAGTCCACGGGCGGATTGTGTTACAATACCCAAGCCAGCAGCTACCGCACATGAGAACCCTGATTTCTCCCAGGGAAGCAGGTAAGTGCAGTAAGAAACTGCTTGTTTCCCTGCATAATTTAAGTTAGGAACCAACACAAGCTCAAGCGTAATGGCTTTCTGTTCAAAAAGAATGATGTACGAGGGCCGCACAGGTGCTAAGATTCCCTTCAAAGCTCAAAGCTCTGAAAGCTGGAAGTGAGACTGAAATCTCCGGTTGAGCACCTCTGATCTTTGATACCTGCAGCACGTGTTGCTCCAGGTTTTCTCCCTTTCCTGAATTTCATTAACTGTTGAAAGCAGGAGGCAGGACTGCCGGGTAGCTAAGTGCTGTGAACAGATCATGACATCCCAGAGTGCATCTCTAACACAGAAAAGAATCCTGAACTCCACGGACTCCAATGCCTGGGCCTGAGTCTGTCCTAACTGATCCTGCTGTACACGGGAATGAAGATGCATCATCCTCTGTGCATATATCAGCCCTAACCTCCTCTGTTCCTTGCACAACAGGCGAGGAAGGCATTTGAATGGTCTGACAAAATACTCAGACATAAGGAGAGAGGTCTAATGCTGTATTTCCATGTGTCTTCTGAGCTAGCATCTCATTTCCAGTATTGGTAAAGTAGCTGGTGCATGTGAATGAGAATAGGGGCATTTGCTATTAACAGCAGGCTTCTTTTAATTGGAATTTTTTATACTTGAGTCACCCAATTTATGAACCCTTGTGATAGATGTAGCTTCCTTTAGATAATTACTTGGGATGAGTGAATATCCCAATATTTATTTAGCAATGGTGTCAACGAATTATGAATGGGAGCAAACAGTTCCAATGGGCAAGCACTGTAATTAATAAAGCCAGTTTGCAAAGGCTTTGTGTATGTAAGTGCGGTACCAGGGCTCTGTAGCTGTGTTACTGATGTAGGAAACAGATGTTAGAGGTGTTCTTGGAAGCAGAACAAGAAGCAGGGGAGGAGAACTGGCTAGACGCAGGAACATTGTTTTCTCCCTTCACCTCCATGAAAACCTGGGCCAGATCAACACATTCCTATGAAACAGCTTTTCCTCGTGAGATGAGTTTCATTGCCTGCATTTGCTGACAATGCAGATCACCTCTCCCAGGAATACTCTTGGGAGATAAATAGCCTTAAACTACAAACAAGGCCAACAGGCATATACAGAGTGACACAACGTGCAAATGTCTCCATGCCTTCTGGCAAACAGGAGCTACTCAAAAACAGTAGGAAACACCATTAAGGTTATGGAAACTCCCGCTATCCATCAATGAAGAGGTTAACATCTAGCTCAACAAACAGGCTTTAGGTCTAGCTCTATACATCAGCCTGGTCTGCTTTTTACTGATAAACATCCATGGCTTTTCTAGTTTTAAATACTTGGACTTTGGCTTCTAGGTGCCCAACCCCAACTCACGATCACTAGATCTTACATGCCTTTTACCCACAGTTGTATCAAATGGCACTCATTGACTGCAGGAATCCCAAGGTAACTCTCATCCCTTGTCTACCTGGGCAGTCCTGGAGCAGGGGCACAACTATGGCTGTGGCATGTATGAGGTTTTGGTCCTGTAGGAATAAGCTATATGCCAAGCTCCCTGGTGGGATGAATTTAATAAGTTATAGTGTGTGTGACCATGACACCAGTAACTTTCATAAAAGTTTCTTTATCTCACTTAATCCTAACAACCCTCACAGAGTTAAATGTTGTAACGGGCATTTTACAGATGAGCACAATAATTTCATTTCTCTTGAATGAAACGTGAGATGGCCTGATCCTACAATAGCCCTTAAGAATCGTGACTCCCAGTGTAAATACTTCATGTAATCCATTCATTCCTTTTAAGCATGAGTAGGAACTGCACCTATGGGTGAGCTACCACTCCCATTATGAGTTTACATTACATGGCAAGGGGCAGGGAAAGATTTGTTGAGGTCTGCAATCGGTCAGCTTGAAGACAAGGAGAGATCATTATAAAGTTAACGTTCGAAGTTGAGAGTGAAATGTGGTTACAAGAGGCTGCCAAGAGTATGAAGGAGGAAGGGCTGAGGAATATCAGTTAACAGGTACCACGTCATAGTTATGTAGGAAAAAGAAATCCTGATGTTCTATTGAGAGGATGACTATAGATAACAATGTACCATGTGTGTATAAGCATCTCATTTCGAAAGCTTTAAATTTACTAAACATGGGGCCAGTGCCTAAAGTGCCAGCATCCCACATGAGCATCAGTTTGAATCCTGGCTGCTCCTCTTCTGATTCAGCTCTGTCCTTGGGCCCCTACACCCAGTGGAAGCTCCTGGCTTCAGATCACAGTTCCAGCTGTTGTGGCTATCTGGGGAGTGAACCAGCAGATGGAAGACCTCCCTTTCTGCCTCTCAGAAAAAAAGTATTACTACCTTAGAATTTTTGTTCATAAAAAGTTACCATATACCCCAATCCTATTTTCTCTACTCACATCTCATAATAGGACCTTTGTCACAAAGTCAGTGGAGGCATGCCCTAGGGGAAATTTCTTATAAGAGTGCTATCACCTTAGCCATTCTGTCTGTGCTTCCAGGCTCAGAGAAGTCTGCCATTGCTGTGTTGCACCCTGATCAGAGGCCACACCAACTAGATCCAGATGATCTTGGACCAAGAACCTCCAGACTCATAAGCCAAAACAAGCCTCTTCCCTTCATGGGTAGCTCATCAATTACAGTCATAAAAAGGTAATACAGTCAGTGGGTCTACATTGAGATCAAGCAATAGTTCGGTTTCCTTTCAGGTTGTCCAACACAAGATAACTGATCCTTTTTCTTTTGATTCTATACAGTTGTGCACGGTCTACTTAGGGCAATTCAAATTGTCTTCACTATGACTACTGAAATGACATAAATAAGCACCACCACATATGGAAATAAGAGCCATCAAGATGTTTCTATATTAAATTGAGTCTTACTTGGAACTCAACGTATAAAATTGAATAATGTCTCTCAGGAGGAATCCACAGGTGGAGAGTGGAACTGCTAAAATCAGAAACTTGGAAAACCAGCATAACAGTGTAATAAACCCAGGTATTCATTGTTCAGACATGAGTCTTTCCTGAAAACCATTAAAAAGGGGCAGTGTTATGGTGCACCTGTTTAAGCCACCACCTGTGATGCCAGCATCCCACATGGGCACTGGTTTGAAGCCCGGCTACTCCACTTTCGATCTAACTTCCTGTTAACATGCTTGAGAAAGCAGTGGAAGATGACTCAATCCTTGGATTCCTATACCCATGTGAGAGATCTGGATGGAGTTTCATGATCCTGGCTTCTGTTTTGCCCAACCCTATCTGTTGTAGCCACTGGGGGTGTGAAAAAATGGAAAGTCACTATAATTCTACCTTTCAAATACTTCTTTAGAAAAAAAAAAAAACAGTAACTGCTTCTGCTTTCTGTATTCTCCCCATGGCTGATGTGAGTGCATAATTCTCCCATTGTTTCCCCAACTTGATTCCTTCGGGGGCTCTAACTACCACAAAATCTATGCATTTTTTTGTTATCTCACAAATATAGCTTGATGCGACAGACATGTCATGGTCTCAATGGGTTGAAAAGAGGTGGAGGCTGGAGATTTCTCCCCTCCCTTGCTACCAAACCAACACTGTGTTGAGACTGGGAATGGCGAGTTATTTGTGACTGCAACTGGATAGCTTTCAAAACCCACAACTGCAGGGCACTAGTCATTGATGGTCACCCAGACACGAGGATGCCTGATCTCACCAAAACTCTGCCGTGTCTCCAGACGTTTGATGGGGAGCAAGCGGTCATGTGCACTGTGAAGTCCCAGTTCTTCCTTTCTGGTGATAGGAAACATCTTGTCCAAACCTCTCTCCAGAAGTAGACAGCAAAGCTAAGATTTGCAGAGGCCAGAGAAGGAAGAGATGTCACAAGCACTTAAGATAACTGAGAAGAATGGCAGGATCTCAGACACTGAGAAAGGCTTGGAGCCACTTACATTTTAAAATGAGGAAATGCCAACAAGATTATACAGTTTGTCCCATTTAAAAGCTTGCTCTTAACATTAATATTTTAACATACAATTCACGAATGTATTATCTTAGAGTCTAAATTTGAGGAGTTCTTTTAAGATGAGATCTAAGTAGGCATAGAAATTAGACTTATTGAGAGGAATGATTACCAACTGGGTGTAATCTAATCAATTTCCATTCAAGTGCAAGCATTGGTGAGCATTGCTCAAGGCAGGCATGGTCCTGGGTTAGGAGACACAGAGATACCTAAGACAGATAAGGGAGGTTCATGCTGAGGGCAGGCAGACAATAACAGGCAACACATAGAAGACTTCAGGGTGGGTTCACCTATAAAGAGAATAAACAGGGTGAAGACAGACAAGGGATGAGTGTGGGCAGTGGGTATATTAGGAAGTCAGGAGAGGCCTTCTTGAGGGGAAGTTACTGGGACAGAGCTCTGGATGCCAAGAGGGAGCCAGCTATGAGGAACTCTGTCAAGTGCATTTCACAGCTTGTCCAGGGTCTACAACAAGCCCAGACTCTTCCAGCACCAGAAAGGAGGCCAGGACAGCTTCAATAGGGTGAGAGGAAGAGGCTATGTGTTAAAGGAAGTGGGAGAGTCCATCACATGCAGGACTGAAATTTCATTACACATTTGCTTGTGGACAGTGTAATTCTCCCTTAAAGTATCAGCTGCAGGAAGATGGAAAATTGGACCCCTTAACTCCTGGAACCTCAATTCAAGATCGGGCAGGTGCTCTGTGAATGTTTCTTGAATGACTGAAGCTGGACAGGCAGGAATCCAGGGTTCTGTTAGATGTGTTAGATACCTATTAGCAATTCAATGGACATAATCAGTGCTGAAATGTACTGAGCATTTCCTATGGGCCAAATATGCTAGAGAACTTATATACATACAGATGGTCCCTGGCTTATGATGGCTTGAGTTTTTCCAGCTTTGCAATGATGCAAAGCAATAGGTATTCAGTAGAAATTATACTTTGAATTTTGATATTGATCTTTTCCTGGACTAATGATATGCAGTACAATACTGTCTTGCAATGCCTACTGTAGGGTAATGTAAGTGTTTTGAGCATGTTTAAGGCAGGCATGATTAAGCCATGATATTTGGTAAGTTAGTTGTATGAAAAGAATTTTGATTGGAGCCAGCACTGTTGGTCACTTGCTAATCCTCCGCCTGTGGTGCCGTCATCCCATATGGGCTCCGGGTTCTAGTCCTGGTTGCGCCTCTTCCAGTCCAGCTCTCTGCTGTGGTCCGGGAGGGCAGTGGAGGATGGCCCAAGTGCTTGGGCCCCTGCACCCGCATAGGAGACCAGGAGGAAGCACCTGGCTCCTGGCTTCGGATCAGCCGTGGCGGCCATTTGGGGGGTGAAGCAACAGAAGGAAGACCTTTCTCTGTGTGTCTCTAACTCTACCTGTCAAATTAAAAAAAATGCATTTTGATCTACAATATATTCCACTTTAGGAATTTATTTGGATGTAACCTCATAAGTCAGCTCACTGACTGAATTTTAACACACTAAAGATAGGTATTGTTATTAGCCAATTCAAAAATGAGGCAAGATGGGAGAGGGAGTAGGAGATGGGATGGTTGCGAGTGGGAGGGATGTTATGGGGTGAAAGTTGTACTTTGGAAATTTATATTTATTAAATAAAAGTTGAAAAAATAAACAAAAAAATGAGGTGAGTCACACAGTAACTCTTCCTGCTGCACATAGCATTGGAGGGAAAATGTTAGAGGTATTCTTATCCCCTCTATTAGGCTGCCATCCTTGGGTCACCAAGTCTAGAACACAAGGCTGAGGTTGGACAAAATTATGTAATAGGGAGGACATCAGCACTGAGAAGCAAGTCAACCTGAGAGACCTGCAGGGGTGGGGAACTTTGTTTGCCAAGGGCCCCTTGGATATTTATGACATTATTCACAGGGTATACAAAATTAAACTTAAAAATATAGATTCATTGAATTTCAAGTCCTGCCTGAGGTTGCCTACGCAGGGCCAGACCAAATGATTCCCCACCCTTGTAAAGTAATAACCAACAATGCAGGTACAGACAGAGGAGTAGCTCAGCTTTATGGTCCTATAACATGCACAAAGGGAGCCACCATTTCCACAAACTGCATTATATAAGCATCTTACACATATATCTCATTTAATGTAGCAACAATTTTATGTGGCACTTTATCCACAGTTTACACAAGAAAAAAAAAAAAAACAACTCAGGATCATAAAGCTTAAATAACTCGACCAAAGCCAGATGGCTAGCGAACAGCAGGAGCTAGAATTCAAACTCTGGAGACTCACTCTTGGCAGACCTGAAAGAAACCAAAATGGTTTATTATTCAGTGGAAATGAGACATGAGGAAGTTTTTTCCAAGAGCCCTGGCTTAGACTGAGAATAGGATTGCCCCGTGTTTTCCTGGGGTAACAATAACAAGATCCTTGGCTCAGCCCCCAGCTAGAGAATTGAGAGACTTTCTCAAATCCCTCAAGTCCTTTCCAACTTGGACAGAGATTCAGGGGTTACTGCAGTATCACATAAGATGCCCACACCCCATCAGGGGGTTTCCCTTCCCCTTGAAACTCATGCAGATCTTTGGCAGCTGGTCCCTTCCTTGTAGCTACACTCAGGAGGCAGGCTACGGTTCGCCTCCCACTATTGGCAACATCTGTCCCGTCATCAAGACCCCTGCTCCCTTCTGCAGCCGGCTCCCCATGAGTGGTGGGGACCATGGGATGGGAAACAGTGTATTTTAGTCCACTTTCATCCTGTTCATGGGTACAACATGTTGCTCCCCTGGGCAATGGAATCCTTCAGAGATTTTGCACATACACACCTTTTCTCTACTCATTTCGTATTAAGTCTTTCTCACTCTAGAAACTTGGAGGGATTCCACCATCCTCAAGATGAAAGTTGGTCTGAATGGCATCTAATTTCTCAGTATTGCCCCTCAATGTCTTTCCTTCACTCCAGATGTTTACAGAGCCCAGAAAACATTCTATACAGATTATGATCCTCCAGAATTATAAGTGTCTTATTGGCATTATAGACAGAACTTAAGTCTCCCACAAAGACCCCTATTTACCAAATTCTTACTTGAACTTGCTGTTTATTCTTTGAATATGTAGGTGCCTATTGGATTTCCCTTTCTCTCTTCTTATTTGCTACCCTTCAATCAAGGCAGCATTTTTGAACTTAAGATCCACCTGAAAGTGTGTGGAAGGAAGTGATCAACAAGGGTGTGTCGGAGGGTCCAAGTCACTTCTCAGGTCCTTGTGAATATCCGAGGACCCAGTGGTTCAAAAGGCAATACAACTTTGTGATTACCAAAGAAGTTATAAATATACAAATTAAATGATATTATAGAAGGATTTTTCTATGTTTACCAGAGGCGAAATCAGATTTTAAGGAGTAAAAACAAATATAAGCCCTCCCACTACGTTCACGGGAACAGGGACAGACTTGATTGCTTCCAGAAAGTCCAAACTGAAATCCCACAGTTTCTACAAGGCCACAAAAGGAAAAAAATAAGGTATTTTCATGCTTGAAAGCATTTAAACTCACTAATCAAGGGCATGATATTTGTTTGACATTTGGGCACATCCAGAGTGTATTCTGGGATATATCCCATAAGCTATTCCTTTCACAAATATACCCTCCCCAAATAATGTGCCCTTTTATTCAAGTCTGAGTGTACAAGAATTTCCACCGAGAAGGTAATCCTGCTCCTTAAGGAGATGTATCCTCTCCACCTCTCAAAACATCTTTCTCTTATATTCTCATTAAGACTGTAGCCTCAAAGACAGCTGAAAGAAGGCAGACTAGTAATTACACATCTTCCTAGTAAGAGCTGGATAGAAAGGGTATATTGAGTCCTGCTGTTCTGTCTAGGTGACACTACACAGCCCTACTAGCTAGTATTGTCACAGAATTAATTGGTTTCCCCTGTTACAACAGCAGGTACTCCTTGATGTTATAGGGTTTCACCACACACAGCCTTGAGGGAGTCTTGGATGGTCAGCTCTGATCCACTCCATTTCTTAGTGCTACTCAGTAACTTGTAAACTGATTAGACCACCTCCTTCAGCCTACGACTTAGTGTGGGATGCTGCTTTAGTACGGTAGCAGGTAAAACTAAGAAAAATAGGCACCTCTTCCCTGTCTCATCCAATTCTCTAAATCTTCCCCACAACCAAAACCCAATTCCAAACTCCCTATCCCCCAGAAAAAATTCCCCACAAACATGTCTTCACTGTTCCGTTTACCACATTGTTTAAACTGTTCCTGCTGCCCGTACCCAAGTGCTGCCTAGTGTTGTCATGTAACACCTTCATGGACACCATTTCTTCCCAGTCTGAGTACTGGAATCATGGTTTCTCTTCAACTGAGGGTACTGTCCTCCCTCTGTCCTGTCCAGTCTCATGTTCAAAATAATGCTTTTACTGAATAATTGTATTACAACTCTAGATTTATAACTTGCAGTTCCATCTTCATTGTGTTCAGTTACCAAAGTATGTGCACCCTTCAATGAAATGTGCACTCACTGCACTTTCTAGAATTCCTGGAGTCCTGATTGATGGGTTCTCCTCATGAGGATCCTGCCTCTAAAGTGGTTTTTCAAAAGTCAACTGAGGAATTGAAGGTCCAGTGCACTACATTTATTTTAACTGTGCATTGCAACACCATCACATAATCCTGCTTTTCTTAAAATACACACATTCTACACGGATTATTTTGACCTTTAACTCACTTTGATAAGATGGCTGTTTTAGAGAACTCCTCACTGTAACCACACCAGCACCCAATACTTTAGGTTCTATATGAAATAAAACAAATGCTAGCAGCTATTCATCTGGTTTGTATTCTGAATTCTTACTGTTTTAGTAATTCTCACAAGTATCTCAATTTTTCACTGAAAAGTCTCCATTATGCCAATTGGCAACAGGTTTCAGTTATTTCAAATTTCTTATATCTGTCTAATGACTTTTTCATTGGGCTCATTCACTAGTTCTATTTATAAATCCTCAAATGTATTTGTAATCTTGCTTGCTCTGCAATTAGTACAGTTGGGGGGGTTAAACATTAAGTTCCGCTAACTCACCCTAAAAAACAAAATTGGTTTCTTAAAATCGGTAATGGCAATTCTTGACCCAATCATTCTATTCTTTAGAAGCTGTAAATGGAATTTTATGTATGTGGATGTCATTTTTTTCTAGTTGAGGGCTCATATCTTAATCAGATCCCCTAGAATTTTGTGACTTCAAAAGAAGATATTCTAGAAATAGGTACTGAACTAGGAGCATAGAGAGGAAAACAGATTTTTGAAAGTTCTATTGATATTTTTACTTCCTCTGTTGACTGACTTGGCTTGCCTCGATGATAGTATATAAATATATAGTTGTTAAATTAGCATAAGTATATGGTTTTTACAGAGGGTTTAGGGAAAAAACTTAATTCCACATGACTTAGTTTGTTAACATTCTAACTTGGGGTGAAAGGCAATAGAACAAAAGCTAGGATGTAAATATGCACAGAGGTCATCATAAATTCGGGCCTTCCAATTAACTCATGTTGTGACTTTAGGGTGGTCATAAGGAAATGACTATATTCTTCAGTATGTAGAATTCTGGGACATGACACAATCACATATGAAGTTCAAAAACAAAGACATTAACAGTCTTCCTTTTAGCGACCTTTCTCATCTCAATGTCAAATCTCATTAAGAGTTAACTCTAAAGGACATCGCATATGGCAGAACAAAAAGTATTCCAAGTCCTTGAGGAAGAAAGAGCACATGAAATGATCCCTTTCTCAACTCTTTTCACCTAACTGGAACTCGGTTTCATTTTATCATAAGAGAGGAAATCAAGTTGCATGTTCTCCATGGTGTCTTTCAACTCTAAAATTTTTGGTTTTCTGTGCTCTTAATGGTTTCATCATTTTTATGTGCAGAATCTATAAGCAATTTCATCTTAAGCCTTAAGATAAATTCTAAGCCTCAGTTCCCTGGCCTCAACACTGTGGGGCTTGTATACTGTCCATAGTTCTGAGGGGCATCTCGCTCCATTTGCTGAGATCACCAATGGGTTGATTACATGCACAAGATGTGCAAACACATATGGGAGCCTCCTTTTGACATGCTGGAAGTGCAGTCCCTCTGCTTCCTCACAGTCTAGGTGGCTGAAACTGGTGGGAGTAGAGCATAGAATTTAGTGCAGTGATAGAAAATGAAGTCATGCACCCTGCCCACCTTGGGAATAGCAAGATTCTGGAGCAATTGAGAATTGTGGAACAGTCTGACATGACAAGGCACGTACACGCAGCCTGGAGATACATGCTCACCAATTAAGTTAGCAATTACCACACTCGTTTTCTCCTGTCTGCACATGAAGAGATCACAGGAGACGTGTGCAGGGTTAGAGTGGAAAAGCTTGTTCAGAGACACAGCTTTTAATATGGGGGACACCAGATGAGTATGAGAAATCTCTACCCTCTAGTGATGCAAAATAAATGAACATATAAAGCAAATGGCTCTCCTCCCCCGTCTCTAGCTTCCCACCCAGCCCAGCATATAGAATGTCAATGCCTGTATTTAAGAGACAAACTAAGCCCTACTGTGGCTATTAGAAAGAGCAACAGACATTGGGGTTGCCACAAGAGAAAAATAAGTGCCTCTGTTCCATTTTTCTAAGTTTTACTTATGATGTTATTGGGGGAAGACAAATATTTATGGGAGAAGCATTGGCTTTCTTCTGTAATAGAAAACCAGAGAGTAGTGGATGGGAGACTAAGGGAACTGGACTCCCCAGGAGAACTGAACTCATTTGCAACAATATAAGGCAAGGTATTGCTCTCCTTCTGCCTAAGCCAGTCTGCACCTACCCACATCATTTAACTTCCTTCTGGCTCTGCTCCCTCAAATGTAAAATGGGAGTAATGATGTTGACCATTCGGCAACTCCTTTACAGGAATGCTATGAAAAAATATAAATTATTCAATAACTACAAGAGTATTTAAGATTCACAAGTGAATATCCCCTGTGGGTTATTAATGAGAGTGACTGCACTATCCTATGGAGAATACTGATGAGGAGTCACAACCCCCTACTGTTTCTCCTGGATTCTGACATCTGAACCCACGGGCTGAATGAATAATCACATACATAGTTCTCTACCCAGAAAAGGGTAAAATTTTTCCAAACAGATCCACCTTCCTTCTACACATGCATAGGCCAAGGAAGGGTTCCGAGTGGATGCAGCATTTTGGTATGACTATTTCATAGCGGATTCCACTGTCTTCAGAGTTGGTCTTTCTCTACCAAGGGTCTTCAAGTCATTCATGGAAAATGTATCGTGAAAACATTGTGCATGGATTTCAAAATGTTTGCTTTACAATAAACCGACTTTTTATAATGTGTCTGAACAGATGCAGTATTTGAGGCACTAAGAAGGATGACATGTCAGTTTGAGAAGTGCCTCTTTCAGGCCAATGTGAATTCTGCCAAAACTGAAAAGCATAGACCAAATTTGCAGTTGAATCTTGAATGGAAGGAGAATGGTATGATCATTGATCTTTTGCAAAGAATTTGTGGGATGCAAATGACAGTTTCGAAATGGATAACTTGTGTTAAGAGATAAAGCTGGCGCTGCCCCTCAGCAGGTGAAGCCATCCTGGCATCCCATATGAGCACAGGTTCAAATCCTGGCTGCTCTGCTTCCAATCCAGCTCCCTGAAAGTGTGCTTGGGAAAACAGTACAAGATGCTCCAAGATGGTCCATTTTTTTTTTTTTACAGAAAAATTAAAGCAAAATTTCTGCCCCATGGGTTTCAAACCTGTTGCACCCAGATCAGCTGCAGACAGCAGAACTTTGAAGGTCTAAACAAGTGGGATCAGAACCCTAAAACATTACTTCAAAGAATTGGAACAGGCCTTATCAGAACTACCCTGGGGCCAGTGCTGTGGCAAAACAGGTTAAGCCATTGCCTGCAATGCTGCCGGTATCTCATGTGGGTGCCGGTTCACATCCTGGTTGCACCACTTCTGACCCACCTTTGTGCTAATGCCCCTGGTGCTTGAGCCCCTGAACCAACATGGGATATCTGGAAGAAGCTCTCGGCTCCTGGCTTCGGCCTGGCCCAGCTCCGGTCATTGCAGCAACGTGGGGAGTGGACCAGCATATGGAAGATCTCTCACTCTGCCTTTCAAATAAAAACTAAAAAGTCTCTATCCTGAGGACAAAGCACAAACCAAGCAATAGCTACTCAGTGGTAGAAGTAGTCCATTCAAAACACAAACAGACCAATCAAAAGCAAACGTCACAGCATTTGGACTTTGGAATGGTCAAGGCAGTATTTGTTGCCGTCTGGATCGCCAGTGCACGATGACATGTGTTTGCCAAAGCCTTAGCAGAAACACTTGGAAAGGCTTTCCCACCACAGTGCTCATTCCACCCACTGAACAAGGAAGTCATTCGGTACCCAATGTAGCACTGATTTGACTCATTCGGACTCTGGTAGTCTTAAAATCTTGAAAGTCCCCCCACCCCCACCCCAATCATGTAAAAAGAGACCGCATTGACATAGTTGAATTGCCAAGACCTTCAGTTCTTCAGGGACAAATAAAATGGCTGGGATCATCACTTACAAATGTGTTCAGAACTTTATGGAGCTTATGTTGAGTAAAAGCTTATTTACCACTTAATTCCATTTTCTTAATTCCATTTTGTTGTTGGTTTCCTAGTTGCGTGTTGAGTAGAGTCGAGTCTGCAGGCTCTCTGGAAGGATCCCTGTCTCTACTCTGATGTCCTACATGAGTTCTGCAGGTATTTTCTCCCAAGTCTTCTCAGGTCACCAAGAGAAGCAGAAAAGGGAACTATTTTGTGATCTTGTAGTCGCACCAGCTTCAGATGCCAACATTGTGGACTAGAAAGTGCTTAAAAGCATCTTTTAAAAAATTCAACTTAGGGGGCCTGTGCCATGGCTCACTTAGTTAATCCTCTGCCTGCGGTGCCGGCATCCCATATGGGTGCCAGTTCTAGTCCTGGTTGCTCCTCTTCCAGTCCAGCTCTCTGCTATGGCCTGGTAGGGCAGTGGAGGATGGCCCAAGTGTCTGGGCTCCTGCACCCACACAGGAGACCAGGAAGAAGCACCTGGTTCCTGGCTTTGAATCGGCCCAGCACTGGCTGTAGTGGCCATTTGAGGAGTGAACCAACGGAACGAAGACCTTTCTTTCTCTCACTGTCAATGACTCCACCAAAAAAAATTCAACTTAGTTATTGCTTTAGATTCCCTTTGTTTCAAGAAGCAGTGATCCTTCTTTCTGAAGGCCTTGAGATTCATAGGCCCAGAGACAGTGTCTACTTGATATTTGGACTTTCACATGGCACAATTTATAGGCTCTCGTTAGTATTTATAGTGAGATGAATTTTTTTTACAAGATTGCATCATCTGAAGGTTTGTTTTGCTTCCAAACTCATTATTTGCCAATTATTATTGGGGCTGCATGTAGGGTCTAGGAGAAAGGAAAGCAAGCAGGATATCCCATTTGGGGTCGATCATCTTACAGAAGTTGTCATGCACAGGGACACATGCTCCTGTCAGCATGCATTTGTAAACCAGAAAGTGACGTGCCCATCATCATTTCGTAAGCCCAGATCACCACATACCAAAGAATGGACTCTTTCTAAAAACCATGCTGAAGAAGAGTGAATATTAGATATGTGAAGTCTTTATGTACATCAAGAAGTATTAAAAGTACTGTTGATCTCATGTTTTTTTCTTCCAGTGTGAAATTTCCAAAAAGTAGAACTTAGTGTCCATATGTTCATGTGCAAAAATTGAATTTCTCCACTGACAAGTTTTTCAGAAGTCATTTAAGTCATAAATGAGACTGTGGAGGTCTCTCCCTCTACTGCTCGGAGCAGAGTGGCTCACTTTTTATCCTTTAGGTAAAACCAACTTTTGCTTCTTTATGGATTCTGTTACATACAAGCTCCTTTTTAAAATGTTTAGTAATTATATTGAGAACATAATGGTTTTTGTTTGTTTTTTTGACAGGCAGAGTGGACAGTGAGAGAGACAGAGAAAGGTCTTCCTTTTGCCGTTGGTTCACCCTCCAATGGCCGCCACGGCCAGTGCGCTGCGGCTGGCGCACCGTGCTGATCTGAAGGCAGGAGCCAGGTGCTTCTCCTGGTCTCCCATGGGGTGCAGGGCCCAAGCACTTGGGCCATCCTCCACTGCCCTCCCGGGCCATAGCAGAGAGCTGGCCTGGAAGAGGGGCAACTGGGACAGAATCCGGTGCCCTGACCGGGACTAGAACCCCGTGTGCTGGCGCCACTAGGCGGAGGATTAGCCTATTGAGCCGCGGCGCTGGCCGAGAACATAATATGTTTTAATCTATGTGTACGCCATGGAAAGATTCGAACACATCTGTCACTTCAACTATTTTTGGTAGTGAAGACATTAAAAATCATTCAATTTTTGAAACTATTGAAATGTAGTTACACATAAAACTGCATATGTAAAGTATACAGTGTAATAAAACTTATGCTCCTGTAAAAGCCAGGCTCCAGTTACAGTAATGATCATATATACAGTCCAATTTCCTGAGCTCTTTAGTAATCCCTGCATCTCCTCCCTATTTGTGTTATTTCTATTTGTTTGTGTCAACTTGGCTGGACCACAGTGCAAAGAAGTTTGGTCAAACATTAGTCTGAATGTTTCTGTGAAGGTACTCTGGAGCGATGGACATGTAACTCAGGTTTTAGTAAAGCAGGTTGCCTCTCACGGTGAGTCTGGGCATCACCCATTAGTAGAGGCCTTGAGAGAATGGACACTGTCCTCCTCGGACAATAAGTTCTGCAGCAGATGGCCATGGGACTCAAACAGCTGCTTGTCCCTGGATCTCTCCGGTCTGCTGGTCTACCCTGTGTATTTTGGACTTCTTTTTCCACACTTGTGTGAACCAGTCCCTTAAAAAAGAACCCCATTTCTGTGTATACACACACACACAGTTGCACACCTGGTTAGTTCTGTTTCTTGGAGAACCTTAAGTAATCTACTCAACTCCCCATGCCTGTCTCACCCAATCTGCACACCACTCCCTAGGCAACTGGCATTCTATCACAATTGACTGCATCTTTAAGAATTTTATCCAAATATGTGTCTACTCTCATTGTCTGGTTTCCATCCCTCAGAGTCATTGTAAGCATCAATAATCCATTTCTTGTTAAGTCATGTAGCTTTATAGAGTACGTCCAAGCCATTTATTTTTACCCATTCACCCATGGATGGACATTGATGTTTTACCAAGTTGGGGGCTATTACAAATAAGTCCATGGACATTGGTACACTAGACTGCATGGCAACATGCTTCCATTCTCTTGGGTAAGTGCTTTGACAGAATAGTTTTGGAGTCATATGTAGGTACATGTGGCTAACAGGCTTTTAAACTGAGCTGTTCTCTACTATGCAATAGAAAGGTCAACAGCCCAATTTATCATTCTTCTATAAACTCTACCTGTGAATTGTGATGTCTTTCATTTTTAGAGTTCTGTTCAACTTTTTGAATAACTGTTTATAGTCTGTCTTCAAAAGTCTGAGGGAAATAAATCTAGATTCTCAGCTCCTAAAAAATACACTCACTTTTATTTAAAAAGACTATTGCTTTCCACGCTTTATATTTAACTGCAGCCAATGGAGAATAGAATTAAAATTCACATTCAAGGAAAAACAGAATGAAAAGCTGTAGGTGTCAAACACTTTAAATCTATGTCTCAGCCTAAAAAATAAATGTAGCTGTTCTCTCCCATTAAGAAGTCTGTCGTTCAATGTAGGACATGGCTTAGCAGAGCCAAGCCAGTAGCTATTGAAAGAAATGTCAAGATCTGACCATTGAAATAGAATTGCATGGACATTAGCAAATTACCTGGAAACTGACAATTAGGTAGACTAACTAGACTGTTTCCACAATGTTACTTTTCTGCTTTTTTGAGATTCAGATTTGCTGGCTTTCATGTACATTAAGAAAGTGTGCCACCAAGTCGTATTTCCACTGTCAGGGAGCTCTTGGTTCAGAATCTCCCTGCTTGGTGAATGTATCGACTCACAAAGGGAGCATCATTTGAAGAGGCATCACCCTTGCTCCATAAATGAATGCCTAGCTTATCGCTCACATCAGAAAGATAATTTTAAAATAAATAAGACCAACCAGTTCTTGAGCCTGAGGCATCAGATAGGTATAGTAATAAGTCAGGCTGATAGCTTTAAAACAGCTCCTGATTTTTCTTACTAATCAAACGAGATCAGAAGCCAGCTATCACTGCAGAAGGAAAGCCAACCTTAATTAGCTTGTCCAAGAGTGTCATTTAGTAAATCAAAAGCCTCAGAAAGGTCAATGAATCTTGCCCTTCTCTCATTACCTCTTATCACTAAGAAGGTATCATTAACCAACCCCATTGCAGTAGTTATTTTAGTGCCTTGTAGTACTCCCTTTGGTGGCTACCCTTTGCTACTTACTTCAAAAGTGGTAGTTTTTGGAACAATTTCTTCTCTTAACTCCAATTCTGCTACAAAACTTAAATCATAAAATTCAGCTATGCTGATATCAACTCCAAACACATGAACATAACTTTGCTGCTAATTTATGTATCCACTCCAACATTATTTAATGAGTACCTAAAGCATGCCAAGTATTCTACTAGGTATCCATAACAAACGATCCCTCCCCCAAATGATGGGCTCACCCACTACCTGGCATACACTCTGGCAATGGATGAGCTGCATTAGGATACACGTGACAGACGACACCTGAGCATCTATTCAGTTAGAGTTACTCACTCTGAGGCTGTTGAGAGTAGAACACCAAGTCATCTATGAAAGGCTTTGCCTTTCCCAGTGCTTACAGTTTTTTATAAAGAAAGAAGATACAAGTTGGAAACCTGAATAGTACCCCAAGAAGGGCAAGCTGAAAAGTATGAAATTCAGAGGTAGGAAGCCAGACTGCTGGAGGCTGAGCACACTTGAGTTATACCTCAGGGGGAGCCAGCAAGGATGTGGTTGAGGAGAGCCAGTCAGATCAGTGGGGTAGCAGTTACCAGTTTCTGGCCACAGACCCCATGAAGCTGATGATAGGAGGGTGAAAACTGCCATGCAAACAGCAATGGCAGTAGGATGGCAACACACGGCACACAAATTGCACTTGAGCCGCTTGACACACAGTAGTGTTGCCTGTGTTAGCACAATCCTCCCAGCAATGCCATGAGGCAGTATCTCATCTTCAACAGGTGACAACACTGAAAGGGAAATGGCTTAAAAAGAGATTTGCCAAGGTCACTCAGCAAGAAAAGGGTAGGCTGGAATTTTAATTAAATACCATCCTGTCTCTCCCAGGGAAGGGGCCTTTTTCTAGAAAGGCATGCTTTCTGCATCGCTCCCATTTCAGGGGGTACATGGGCCTTCCTGGATACCATCACCCTTGGATAAAAGAGGTTTGATGTGGGCAGAGGGGTAGCATCATGGCACACTGGGAAAAGCCACTGCCTGCCATGATGGC